CGGAACTTCTGCGCGTACCAAGGCCTGCCCGTTGAGTTGCGGCCCGACTACCTCGACCGCGCGGTGGGGGCGTACTTCACGGCCCTCGGCGGCGCGAGATGAATCTCATGAACGACCCGCGAGAAAGCGTCGTGAACGACAACCACCAAAAGTCCGACGTGCTGCTCCCCGGCTACGAGCTGATCGAGAAGATCGGCGCGGGCGGTTACGGCGAGGTGTGGAGCGCCATGGCGCCGGGCGGGCTGCACAAGGCGGTCAAGTATGTCTTCGGCAATGAGTTCGACAAGCGCGCCATCAGCGAGATGAACGCGCTGCAGAAGGTGAAGTCGGTGCGGCACCCGTTCTTGCTCTCGCTCGAGCGGATCGAGGTGGTCGACGGCCGGTTGATAGTGGTGTCGGAGCTCGCCGACGGCAGCCTGCGCGACCGCTTCCGTGAGTGCTTCGCGGAGGGTCTCCCGGGCATCCCGCGCGACGAGCTGCTCGGCTATCTAGCCGACGCCGCCGACGCGCTCGACTACCTTGCGGATCGGCATGAGCTGGCGCACCTCGACATCAAGCCCGAGAACCTGCTGCTCGTGGCGGGGCACGTCAAGGTGGCCGACTTCGGCCTCGTGAAGAGCCTGAGTCTCCAGACGCAGGCGTCGCTGGTGGGCGGCATGACGCCCGCGTACGCAGCGCCCGAGGTGTTCCGCGGTGTGCCGACTCGCCATAGCGATCAGTACAGCCTAGCGATCCTCTACCAAGAGATGCTGACGGGCGCCCCGACGTTCGCCGGCGCCAACGCGGCGGAGCTGACGCTGCAGCACATGAAGGACGACCCGGACCTCCGCTCGCTCGGCGAAGCGGACCGGTTCGCCGTGGCGCGGGCGCTGTCGAAGGACCCCGCGAACCGTTTCGACTCGGCCCGCGCGTTCGTCGCGGCGTTGCGATCGCAACCGACTTCCTCGGCGTTCGATGGCGCGGCGTGCAACGTTGCGAGCCCTCTCGAAAGCCGTGAAGCTTTCGCGGCCCCGGCGGCGAATCGTTTCTCGGTCACCGAGGTCTTCGAGGACAACCCGGCCGAAACGGGTCCTGGCAGGTCGGAGCTCGCGACGGTGCGGCCCGCGCCGCTCGTCATGCCCAAGCCAAGCGAGGTCTCGGCGCCCGACGCCGACGCCTCGCCCTTCGCCGCGGCGCCGGCGGTCTTCATCGGCGTCGGCGGGACCGGCGCGCGGGTGCTCCGCGCCTTGCGCGCGCAGATGCGCGAGCGTCTCGGCGCCACCGCGCCGTTGCCAGCGGCACCGATGCTGCTCTTCGATACGGACTCGCAAACGCTGGCCGCTGCTTCCATCGGCGG